CAAGTGGGTGGCTTTAAAGACCAGAAATTTATTTTTTCACAGTTGAGAAAACTAGAAGTCTGAATTCCGGATGTGACTCTAGGAGGAGGTCTGTCTTTCTCTGTTTTAGTTTCTAGTAGTTGGCAGCTCTTGGAATTCCTGAGCATTTGTCTTCCCAGTGCATTTACGCCTATGCTGCTCTTTATATAACTCAGAAACGATAAGATTTAGTGTCCACGTTACATTGGTGTGATTGATTGCAACTTATTAGATTGCATTATGAAAGGTGATTAGATTAGATTACAACCACTGGTCCAGGATTTCATTTCTTTTTCTTAGTCTGGGTTCTCTAGAGAAATGAAATCAGTAAAGCCTTTCTATATGCAGAGGGGTTAAAATCACAGAAATGACTCGCACAGTTGAAGAAGTAGAGAAGTTCTAAGTTTGTGGGTCAGATGTCAGGCTGAAGGCTTCTGACTCAAGGAGCTTTAGGTGCTGATAAACTCTAGGTTGGCAGATTGGATGGTGGACTTCTGGCTGCAGAGGTGAAATGAATCCAAGTTTGGCAGGTAAAATTGCAGGCTACTCACAACTCCCTCGATTTGCAGACCACTGGCTCGAGTCCAAAGAATTGGAGGTTGGATCACAAGCCAGATGCATGATCCAGATCAAGAAAAAACCAGCAACTTTGTCAAAGGGTCCAATATTTTGGAAGCAGGCCATAACCCTGAGGAAACTTCCTTTCAATTGATTGAATGCTCATAGCCAATTTCATCATGGGATATTGCTATGTTTTAATTGCTAAATCACTAAGAATACTGGCCTAGGCAAGTTGACACAAAATCTTAGCTATCATAGTTTTCAACACATATTTTTTGGGGACAGTTTACTCCATAACAACTAGCTTAGTCAAGTCATTGGATCTCTTTAGAACTCAGGTTGTCCTTTGTAAAATAAGACTGGATTAGATAGTTTAAGCCCTCTCTTTGTCCTAAAACAAATAGATTCCAAGCCTTTTAGTGCACTGATGGGCTTTGTTCACACCATAGAGCAAAAAGATTACGAGGTTTACATGTATTTATTTTACTGGTTTGCTTCAGATTGGAGCTATTGTTGGTGGGTCCCTCCTTGTGGTGGTTTCGATTGCTGGTGTGGTGCTGTCTAGAGGAGCTTGGAATTCAGACTTCACTCTTCTGATCATCAGTTTCGTCTTTCCATTGATCGGTCATCTTGCGGGCTTTCTGCTGGCAATTCTTACCCGACAGACTTGGAAGAGGTACAATTTAATTATCAATATCCTTTTTTGAAAAAGGCAAATTCAACACAGTGCCACTGGCACACTTTGCTGCATGACTGTCAGGAGATATGAAAAGTTTTGATGTAAATGGAGGGTGTAAACAATACAGGGAAGTTGAAATCTGTGAAATTAGAATCTGGGTGTTTACAATATTTGCTAAAACCTAGACATTTTAATGAGATAAGTGGTGTTTGCCAATGATGGTGGGAACAAATTGGTATACATTCTCTGTAAAGCAATTTAATGTTTTAGCAATAGCTTTATAAATACTTCTAACAATCATCTCACTGATTTTACATTTAGAAATTACTCCTAAAATTAGCACTATCAAATATAAAAATAATATTGATGTGCTAAAATGTTAATTCTTCTATTGTTACTTATAAACTTAAAAATAGAAATAATTTAAATACCTAGCTATAGGGAGATGTTTAATTCATGATGTATCTGCTATGTAATCAAATATGATACACCAATTTTAAGGATTTGGGAAAGTACTCAAGAGACTAATCAAATTAAAAACGATGAGTATAGCAAAACTAGATATCCATTGGAAGAAAAATGAAATAGAATTTATACCTCACACCAAATACAGAAACTAACTCAAAATAGACCAAAGTCCTATTTATAATGTTAAAGCTAACATTATAAAGTTCTTAGAAGATAACATAGGAAAAGAGCTAGGACTCCTGATTTATGACATAAATATACAATCAAATGTACTGTTGCCACGCTTAAGTCCAATCCATCTCGTTGGGAGTCTTCTCATTTTGGCTGACCCTCCACCTTACCAAACATGATATTCTTCTCTAGTGACTGGTCCCTTCTGACAATATGTCCGAAGTATGAGAGATGAAGTTTGGCCATCTTGGCCTCCAAGGAGCGCTCTGGCTGCACTTCTTCCAAAATGGATCTATTGGTTCTTTTGGCAGCCCATGGCACTTTCAATATTCTCGTCCAACACCATAACTCAAAAGCATC